GCCTGCGGGGCCTTAAGTGGGAACTCCTTGTTGTCCAGTCCCAGGGGGAGGAGAGGCAGGCTACAGTGTCCATGCCCCCTTCCCAGGTGTAAAGACAATTAGGTGGGTCAGCTGTTGTTTGGGGCCATGGCCCAGGTTAGACCTGCGCCCAGAGAGAAGCCAGTGTTCGGGTACAAGCTCACCTCTGGGGGGGCAATGTCCCTGGAGAACCAGGCAACCCCTGCAAAGTGGAGCATAATCACCCAGTGGAGAAGCGCAGACTGTGTGCCTGCCTCCAGTGGAAGGAGCCCATTGACTCTCCCCAGGCCGCTCTTGTCCTTGACCAAGTGTCCTCAATTCCTGAGGAGGAGAAACAAAGTCCAAATTGATTTTGCTTTTCCCCCCTCCCTCTCCACTAATATTTCCTGAGGGCCTGGGTGTTGAGTACTCTACTAGGAAAGAGAAAAATTCAGAAAAAAAGATCTGGACTTTGCCAGGAGTGGCGGGTGCGGTCTAGAAGGCCCGCCACACTGAATGATTAAACAGCATTGCCAGGCAGCACAGAGACAAAAAGAGCCCAGCATGCATCGGGGGCCTGGTTTCTGAGTCCGACTTGGCCCCTAATTCTCAGATTGTTTTGAACAAGTGTCCCTAAATAATTAAGTTTTCCTCACCTCCTTAAAACGAGGGGAGTAGGCTAGAGGAAGAAATCTTCATTGGGGGTTTAGGGACTCCCCAGGGCAGTGATTATAAATCTCAAAAACCAAACACCTTCCTGTCTGTAGCAAATAGTGTCTAATGTCCCCTTTGCTATTCTGAAATATAGTAACTCACACAGATAATTTAAAAATCAGTGTAATCTCCTGCTTGGAGAAATAAAAGGAAGCTAATTTAGAATAGATAATTTTATTTTCAGCACATCGAGAGGGCACAAGATAGCCACACACCACACCACCCCCTTCGGTGGGAAATGGCACCTTTCCCACTGGGAACCACTGGCCCAGAAGGTCCATGATGGGCCCCAGGGGATCTGAGTTTGCGTGAAAATTCCATCTGATGACAAAATCGTCAGATTCTCAAGGGGGTTGGTTCCCCAACAAAAGTTAAGGAGTCCTCAGGGGACTCTGAGTTTGACTACATGATTTGTGTCAAAATGAACCTCGTAATTCATGAACTCCACTTCCTTTGGGCCTGACCTCAGAACAGCTCCTTCCTTGTTTCTGAGGGTAGAATATCATGCTAGGCAGAGCCATGGTGCTTGGTCTAAGGAGCTCAAAGCCTTCTCCAGCACAGCTGACTGGTTGCTAAAGCTCTCATCCAGGGCAGAGAGGAAGCTCCCCTCTTGCCAGAGGGACTACGGGTCTTGAAACACCTCTGGCATAGAGAGAAAAATCAATGACTGGTATTCATTTCACACCATGAAGAAATGGCGGGTGGTGTGACTACCCTCAGGCTGAACTATGCATTTTATCTGGGGACAGGAAAGGGGAAAGGTTAAATCTCAGAATTAAACAGGTAGTCTTGTTTTTTCTGGGAAAAGTGAGAAAATTGCAGGATAGGGAAGGGGCAGCGCTAGCTTTTGTTTTCACACTCTGTTCCCTTGAAGGAGTATTTGACTGAAATGGAACAACCTCTCACATCAATCGATCGATCGATCAAAGAAGGGTTAGATTAAAGGCAGTCTGTCCCTTAGGAAAGGCTGGAAAAGCCTTTTCTGCCAACTGCAGGCCCATTTTCTCTCCCTAGAGGAAAACGCTCCTACCAGATCTTATCTATTAGCTTATCAAATATTTCCCATCCCTGTCGACCAGTGGTGTCCAACCAGAGGCTCTCAGGCAGCATGCGGCCCAACACAAAATCATAAATTTACTTCAAACATTTTTTGCTTATCAGTTTTCATTAGTAAGTTTGTGCATTTAGTGTGTGGCCCAAGACAATTCTTCTTCTTCCAGTGTGGCCCAGAGACAACAAAAGGTTGGACCCCCCTATGCAGCAGACGAGTTACATGTTACCATAATACACAGGACATGTACACACACGTATACAGTCACAGGAATTACCGGAACATGTTATTCAATATATGTTTGAAGAAATTTTGAAATTGTAAAACCTGTTGCAGGATTTGAGAAAACTCTCTTTTCAGGCAAGACTGGGTGTGTTCAGAGTGGTATGGTCATACTGAAAACTTTCCTTTTAGAACAAGCACCTGAGTAGAACTTGAGAGTGTAGGTAGACAAAGTGACAAAGCCCAAAAATTTTTTTACATCTATAGTAACAAAAATGTTACAAACTGTTTATAAGATGTTCTGCAGTTTACTCTTTTGGCCTAAGGATATACTGCGGATAATTTCCCCAGTCACTTGTGAAGCTAACCTCTTCCTTTAAATTTTAAAAAAGATTTTTATTTATTTATTTATTTATTTTTAGAGAGAGGGAAAGGGAAGGAGAAAGAGTGGGAGAGAAACATCAGTGTGTGGTTGCCTCTCCTGTGGCCCCACTGGGGACCTGGCCTGCAAGCCAGGCATGTGCCCTGACTGGCAACCGAACTGCCAAGCCTCTGGGTCGCAGCCCACGCTCAATCTACTGAGCTACACCAGCTAGGGCTAACCTCTTTCTTTTAATATCAAAACAGTTATTTCATCATATGGACTGTAATATGAACTTTTTAAGCAATTCTCCTTTGAACATTGGAGTTTTCCCAAGCTTTCAGATCTCACAAACAGAGGTGCAATGAACATCTTTGTCTGTTTATATTCCTGTGAGATAAATTCCTGGTTCAAAAACTTTACACAGGATGGGGGTCCAGAGTGGGGAAATTCCAGCTTTGTCACTTCCTCACTCTGCAACATGGTGACCTCCTTTTTTATAGAACATAAACCAGGACTAATGCTGAATTCATAGTTATTTTGAGGAATAGTGAAATAAACTTTCACTATTTCATATAAATTTCATATAAAACTTTCATATAAATTACCAACCCAGTGCTGAGACACATACATTGCCATTGTTACCATTACTGTTATTATTATTGTAACAACTACTGCTTCTACAAGTTCTTCTCCCCCATCCCTTTCAAAGCCCAGTTCAAGCTCTATAACTCCTCTAAAAAGCCTTTCATGTAATTGCAGTTTATAGGGCTTTCTCTTTCCAAGCTGTTACAAATGGTTGTCTTACTCATCTAGCACTTGGCATGGTCTTATATATATTTTTCTCTCTCCATGATCATCTTGTCAGTCTAGCTAGACTCTTTTGCAGAAGGTCAAGGACCATTCATGCTTATGCTACCTGTATCCTCATTACTGACCGCATTGCCTTGCTCAGTCAACGAAAAGCCCTGTCCCCAAGCCCTTTGTCAGAATCGCCTGAATGTCTGGTTTTATGCCTCCCCTCAGATGTCCTGCGGTTTGACAACACCTACAGCTTCATTCATGCCAAGAAGGTCAGTTTCACTGTGGAGGTCCTGCTGCCAGACAAAGCTTCAGAAGAGAAGATAAAACAACTGGGGGAAGTCCCCCCAAAGTAACGCCTCCTGCCACAGAAGGCCTGGCTCCCTCAGTGTCTCCCTGTCAGTTTCTGTCCCTTCTAGCAGTCATTTTCCCCCATGCCAAAAGACACTGGGCTAGAAGAAAGACTCAGCTGAGCCTGGGAAGCTATGACTTCAGAATTAAGAAGAGGAAGCATAGCAGCAGTGGGTCTCCTTGCCTTTCAAGTTAGAGTCCCTAGAGGCTGGGCACTGTGATAGGATCTATTTATCCTGCAAGCCGTGCCAATGTCACCTACCTGTGACAGCTGAGACAGGAAGGTGGCACCACAGGGTGACAGCAGGGAAGAAATTAGAGAAGGGGAGAGTTTGATTCTTAACATTTCAGGGAAGCCAGCAGTAGGGGAGGAATGTGCAACCAAATGAACATTTAAGCTTAGGTGATAATGAGGAATAGCAAGGTACCCAGTTGCTAGGGTTATGATGGTGGAGGTCAGAGGCTCTTCTAAATTTCCTATCACTCAGGCTGGGATCCTTTGGCTTTTCCCGGGTCTTAGGAGATGGTAGAGTCAGCAATGATCTTCCCACTCAGGGGTAGACAGGCAGGTCTTTCCCTCGCCTTGAGAACTTCGGCAACTCCTGGGTACCACTGGCTGCCGCTTTAATTACTAATAATTGTCCTTGATTCAGAGCTTCCTCGGAGAGTGAGCTTTGGTCTCGTACCCATCTACTGTCCTCCAATGAGAACAAAGCACAGGGAAATTACCTCCAGGAATCTCTACTCTGGGAATGGACGAGAAGAGAAGCTGGGGTGGATGTGAGTCCTGAGACTTCCACTTCCCTGTTCAGTGTCGCCAGCCTCTCGTCAAGTAACTCTTCATTTGATTAACCACACAAAAATGACAGATGGGATCCAGACAGAACTCAGGGCATTTACCAGCTGAGTCTTCCACGGTGTCCGCCAACCGCTTCCTCCTGACTGACCCGAGCAAAGCCTTGGCAGTATGGTGGGTGCTGTGGGTTCCTAGTGCCTGGTGAGGCCAGCGTCTGGCATAGCCAGGGGCCTGGGGCAACCACAAATAGCCCCTAAGGTCCTCCGCCCCTTTCAAAGCAGGGCCCACGGCGACAAGCGGGGATAATTATGGGGCTGCTCAGGGACCAGGCGCTGGAGGGCACAAACCCTGCGGGCAACCACATCACTAGTCACAATCCCAAATCCTGCAAACGCGAACCAGAGCCTGGGCTGCACAGGAGCAAAGAACGCGGAAAAGCGGCCCATCCTGGATAGCTGGTTTGGCGAAGCTGAGGGAGCGGGAGGAGGGGGCCCGAGGCTGAATGTGCCCCAGCCAGAACCCTCAGGAGGACATCCCGACCTTGGTTTACAATGCTGTTAGGAAAATTAACCAATGAATAAAGCAAAGTTCAGTGCGCAGAGTGCAAGTCAATGCCTACCAAGTCACTGCTCGCTACTCAGCACCCGGAGCCCTAAATTTCTGCGCCAGAAGCCTAGAAAATCGTATCTGCTACTAGCAGGACACAGGCACAGAAACCATAAACTATTAATCCGGTGTACACTTTCCCTTGGCGCCCAACGACCAACTTGCCCTCTGATTGGCCTGGCTGGTGGGCTGTCTTCTGCCATCTTTGTTACTGGCACTAAGGATACTCCCGGCAGCCCTCACCGTCAGGGCGGAGGCCCCGCCCCACTCGGGCTTTTCGGAGCGCGCTGGGTGGGTTTTGCGCTTGGACACGTGCGTGCGGGTCTAACGAAAGCGCTCAGAGTTTGCGGTGGGGCTCCTGAGGGGGGGGTGGGGAGCAACAGTCACGTGATCTTAGGGACTGTCTCCTAATTCCGCGCCAGCACTGCCAGTGTTTCAGGGGCTGAGGATCTCTTTGAGCCTGGAGCCCAGCTTCCTGAGAGGTGTCGTCACTAACTGGGCTGCGGACGACCGGTACACGACCCTACAGAGACAGCGACACCCAGGCTGAAAATGGCGATCTCAATAGGGAGTCAGTGGTCTCCATATTTTCCAATTTTATTTAATGAATAAAAGTTAATTCTTTAATGAGCGCGTACTGGGTTGGCATACAACTCTGTGTTTACCGCCTTGGGTTATGCAAATGTTCAAGGAAGTAATACATGCGAAAGAGCCTGGTACAAGTGAGAGCACTCGGTAAGTGTTGGCTACTCATTGTTTCGGAGGTGGCTAACAGCTCATAGGCGCCACCGCTGGAACCCAGGACTGTCTGTCTTTAGTGGCTGTGTCTATGTGCGTTGATAGCCCTTGTTTCTCTGGCCTCTCATTCATTCATTCATTCATTCATTCATTCATTCATTCATTCATTCATTCGTTCGTTCAAGGTCCTGTCCCAAGAGGCTCTTAGGGGCATACCGATACAGTTTAGGCCCAGTGCTTGTTCATCTAACATGGCATCTATCGGGAAGGGACATCCACCTCGCCAGGGTGCTCCCCATTCACCTCCCCAGGCTCATTTACTGAGCTCGTTTTAAGAGCAGAGGAGCTGAAGCCAGCCCCAGCTTTACCACTTAGCAGCTGTATGACCTGGGAAAGTGACCCATTTTTTCTGTACCTCGATTTCCTCCTCTGTAAAATGGAGGGTCACAGGCTGATGGGAGAGTTTAAGGAAGTAACCTGTCTAAAATATTTAGCTGGTAAAGTCTGTAGCTGTTCTTCTTTGGCCAAAGATTTGGCCATAAATAAACACAATAAATGATGACATGTAATAATCATCATGTCAAGAGTAAACCATGTCGTGTGCCCCATTTAAGAAATGAATAAAGCGAGGCTTAGAGTACAAAAACTTGAGGTCACACAACGATGAAGTGTAGTATACAGCGTTTGAACACTGGCCTCTTTGGCTCTCAAACTATAGTCAGTCCTGGGAAGAGGATCGTGCCAACCTCTCAACCACCGAAAAAACGTGAAGGAAATTAATCTGTCAAACTCAAGCCTGTGAGAGGGGCTTCGGTGCGCGGGGGAATTTACAGACGCTCCCTGCTGGTGGGGGACAGCACTACTTGACCTTCAGTCTGGGACCTTCAATCGGTCCTGCGGCGTTGGACAGGAACTCCAGGTGGAAGCTGAGGCAGCAGCGGCGGCAAGACCAGCTGCAGCAGCCTGGGCCGCAGCAGAAGCGCCATGACCGAGTCACCCCCGCGGGGAGAGGAGCGCGACCTTTTCCGGGACACGTGGGTGCGATACCTAGGTGAGAGCGGGGCGAGGGGCAGGGTGACTGCCCCACCACGTAGCTGGGGAAATAGGGTTGTCGGACTCCGGTTCGGGTCCCGGAGAAGGTGGGAGGATTTTCGTTTTTATTCTGCCCAGGCTAGAAATTGAGCTCAGAGAGGGCTAGGGATTGGCCAAAGGTCACCCAGCTCTGGTCGGCTGAGCCCTGTCCTTGGAGTCTCTGCTGGCCCTGTCTCCCAGGTGGAAGCTCAGACCCTGCTTGGAGGAATGGAGTGAGCAGGTCGCCTTCCCTGGCATGCCTGGGCACTGGCTGTGGGGTCAGAGTATCTGGTCTGTCTCAGCTTTTCACTGGCTGTCCGAGCCTCGGTTTCCTTGTTGGCAAAAAGGAATGAACACAGGGCTTCTCATCAGGTGGTAGTTGCAAGGGAAGAATGAGATAAGGCACAGAAAGGCCTGGCACACGGCGAGTGCCTGGTCATTGGAGCTGCCCTTGGTCAGTCACTGCCACTGCCTGTACCCCCATTAGTGCAGCTGCTTCTAGAATCCAGATTGGGAGTGGGATTGAGTGAGTGATAACAGTAACTGTACTCAGCTTTCCCATGATGGCTCTAAAGTTGAAGTGGCCACCATTTTATAGGCTGGAAAACAGGCTCAGAGAGATAAAATCACTTGTTTAAGGTCATCCAGCTTCTGTTTAGCAGCTGGGACTAGAACCAGCTCACTGGAGTGCTTCATTGTGGAGCAATCCATGGGCCCCAGGATTAAATGTCCTCTCCCCTGACAGGCTACGCCAATGAGGTTGGGGAAGCCTTCCGCTCCATGGTGCCAACAGCTGTGGTGTGGCTGAGCTATGGTGTGTCCAGCTCCTATGTGCTGGCTGATGCCATTGACAAGGGAAAGAAGGCAGGAGATGTGAGTGTTACTTTGCCCCTCAACACCCCACCCCAGTCCATTCCCCTCATGGTTTAGTCCACAGTCTTGCATGTGATAAAATCACTGTGGTTAAAGCATGTGGACAGTGCAGTTCCCATAACCTCACCTGGTGCAGTCCCTACCCCAGTCCTGTTTGTTGGATAGGGAACCCCACCCCTCCAGCCCTGTGTGTGTGACATAGTTTATAACCTAGTCCTGGATGTGGGCAAGTCTACCCCCAGCCCTAAATATGGTATAGTCCAGACGGAAATACTAGTGTGTTCTGCCCCTGCCCTTCCCCCGATTCCCTCTTCCTGGTCCAGCCTCATGCTGCTTGTCCACAGGGTTTCCTGACTCTGCCCCTATTGGGTTAAGTTTCTCTTGTGCCCTGCAGGTGCCAAACCCTGAAGCAAGCCGCAGCACCAGGATGACCGTGGCTGTGGTGGACACCTTCGTGTGGCAGGCTCTGGCCTCTGTGGCCATCCCAGGTTTCACCATCAACCGGGTGTGTGCAGCCTCTCTCTATGTCCTGGGCACTGCCACCCGTTGGCCTCTGGGTGTCCGCAAGTGGACGACCACTGCACTGGGACTGCTGGTCATCCCCATCATCATCCACCCCATTGACAGGTGGGCGCTGCTTCCAGCCTCAGGGAGCATTCACTACGTGGGTGGAGAGGAGCCCTGACTGGCGTGGGGTGTACTCACTTGGCACAGAATAATAGCAGCAGAGGGAGGGCTGGCACTCAGCTCCAGGGGCATGGGACCTGGCAGGTACTTTGGCAGTAAAGGCAGGGGTTGCCTGGAGGGTAGAGGATACAGAACTAGTAAATTCCCAGAAAAAAAAAGCAACTTAGAATTATAAAACAACCAAAGCAGGCCAGAGCAGGTGCACCCTGGAGGGTTTTAGTGACAGAATTGTTTTGTGAAACTGAGAAGTTGTTATGCTGCTTTCAGGCATGGCTGAATCTAGGCACCCAAATGATGTCATTAGGGGTCTGGGTCTCCTCATCCTAGTACCCTTTTCTCTTCCCCACCCCATGTTGGCTTTATTCACTTTCCCCTCATAGGAGCTGAGGTGGCCCTTAGCAGTTCCCATCCCACCAGCTTAGAAAGCCCATAGGAATCTTCTTAATAGTGACAGCAAAAATCCCAAGGAAGGCTGTCATTGGTCCATTGTAGACTGGGTGCTCACCCTTGAGCCAGTTTCACTTTTCTGATTGGTCAGGCTTGGGTCATGTGACTGCTCTTAAAACCATAGATGGAACCAGACTAGTATGGAGTGGGAGGAGGAGTCTTTCTCCAAGGGAACATAGCTGACCCTGAGGCCCTGAGTGAGTCTTTTACCCTCTCTGTGCCTCAGTTATCCTGACTGAATAAAGAAGAACGTGGTAGCTGTCATTTGGATGGCACTTGTGCCCTGTATCTGGAGAGTCCCTTCCCCAACCCTGATCTCCTGCCTCCCATTCCCCCAATAGCATCCCTTGGTCACCTGCTCATCACCCTTCATTGTCCCACAGGTCAGTGGACTTCCTCCTGGACTCCAGCCTTCGCAAGCTCTACCCCTCAGTGGAGAAGCCCAGCTCCTCCTGACCCCACCCTGGTACCTGGCCTGGGGGTTGGCCCACTCCTTGCTTTGTTCTACCCTCCTCCTCCTGCCAGGGAATGCGATGCTTGGCTCCCTGGGGTCCAAGGCCCTGGCACCTGAGTGGGTTTGAAGTGCATGAAAATGGAGACAAAGGCCCCAAGGAGCAGCAGCCGCAGCAACTCCGACAGGGGCAGGACCTGACCCCTGTCTGTCTCCATGGAACTCATGATACTGAGAGGGAAGGCCCCTGGGTGGGCCCAGCCCTGTCTTTTGCCAGGAAAGTAACACCCTCCCACGGAGGATAAGGAATATGGCCAAGATCACTTGGCCAGCTGGGCACTCAGGACTCCCAGAAGCTCAGCCACGTCACCCCACGGCGGCGCGGCTGGACAGAGGAGCAGCAGGCGCTGGGAGAACGCAGGTGTGCAGTAGTGGGGACCCTGAGGACTGATCCTTTGGCCAGCCCATCTCTAGAGCAGGGGCTGCTGAGGCCTAAAGGCAGGACAGCCCCGGTCCAACCAATAAATCCTCAAGAAGTTGAGTTTTCTTTTCTGTTGGGGAGGAGCAGGAATGTGGTGGTGGAGAGCAGGGCGGAGGGCCCTCAGGGATGCAGGCTGACTCCTCAGTCCAGGTGTCACTCACAGTGGCCAACACTGAGCCTTCTGGTCCCTAATCCCGCCCCCCCCCGCCCACCAGGGCTCCCCTGCAGATGCCTGGGTGTCCAGCCTTAGGGCTGCGGACTCTTTCAAGGAAGGTATTGCCCTCTTTCTTTGAGCTTCCTTAAGCACCCACGCCTTTGGGAGGGGAGCCTGTTGGGCATATACCACCTGAGCCTGAAGGTTCCCGAGATGAAGACAGCCCCCATGAGTATCACATGGGACTCCTGTGCAGGGATGCAAGAGTCCTGGAGAAAAGGGAGTGACCCAGGGCCTGCCCCTCCACCCCACTTACCTGCTTCCCCACACCCCCTTGAAAGTTTGACCCAGGCAAAGATCAATTCTGGCCAAGGTCCTGGCCCTCCCTGTCACAGCCTAGGTACAGCCCAGTGGGCTAACCCCACCCCCCAAGAGACCACCTGCGCCTGGGCAGGGACTTACAGGGACTGCGGGGCCGTGGGATACTGCTGGTGAGACAGGATGGGGACTCGGGTTTTGGCTCCTCCTGTCGGGGTGTCTGCATCTGCAGGGTGAGTCTGGAGGCCTTCCCCAGAGCTGGGGACCCTGAAGGGATGGGGTGGGTCTTTGTTGCCCTTCTTTTCCCACACTGGCAGGATCCCATTCCCAAGTCCCCCATGACCTCCTCTGCCCAGTTTCCAGCTGCTTCCCTGGCTCACAAATGCTCTGAGCCCCCCTCACTCCTTAGCCTTCTCTCTGCCTCCTCCCACACTCCTCTCCAATTCAGCACCATCTCCCCCAGGGCCACACCCACACCTGCATCCCTGTGCCATCTGGGTCCTGCCAGCATTCCTGTTCATTTCTCTCTTCCACCCTCAGGGCATGCCCTAGAGCTGGAAGCTGCTTAGGCCAGAGTCAGGCTTCTGTGCTCTTGGGCACACTCTGAGCTCTCAGCCTCGTGTACCTCCCCATCACCTACCCTCAGAGCCCCTCCCCAGCCCCCACGTTCCTCAGCTGGAAATCCTTTCCTCTTGGCCAACACTGAGTTTCCTTCAGAAGTAACCCCCATGCCCCCTCCTTTGTTACCCCTCAGCTCTGCCCTACTGTGGCCCCTCTGGCCTTGGCTGCCCCACTGGTGGCCCTGCCCTGTAGAGAACTACTGAGGCCTAGCACATACAGGAGCTTGCAGGCCTTCTCAGGCCAGGCTGGTGGAAATAAGGTCTTTGGTCAGCTAGTCTGTGGCAGGCGAGACTTCCCCCACCTGCCTTCAAACACATACGCCCTATCCCACTCCTGCTCCATTGTGGGGATGCAGTGGTTGGCTAGGGGGGTACATTAGGGGAGGTTTCTGGGCAGCAGGCAGACAAACCTGTGGCCTGAGGAGGGGTGCTGGGCTTGGGGCCCTTCTCTGTTTCTTAATGTTTGCTCAGAGACCCAGCAGCCCCCTCAGGCAGGGGTTGGGCCTCTTCAGGGTGCCGGAGAGCTGGGTCCAACTTGACGTTCCCTTTCACATCCCTTTCACACCTGGCCCATTGCTGTGGGCCAGTGAGAGCGGAGCCACAGCCTCTAGAGCCCATTGTTAACTTGGACAGGTGTTTTGTGAGCCAGGGGTTAAACACACCCATTATTAAAATGAATCAATATAAACTCAGATTTAAATATTAGAAACAAAGGTTGTAAAAGGTTCTCATCACAGGAAAAAAAACATTATCATGTGTAGTGATGGATGTTAATTAGACTTATTGTAGTGGTCATTTCAAATTGTATACAAATATCAAATCACGTTATACAGCTGCAACTATGCAGGGCCCCATAGCGTGAAACAGGATGTGGTGGGAGTATTTACACCGCAGAAATCAACACGTCAGGGTCCCCTGCCCCGGGGGAGCCAGTGGTCAAACATCTACCAGCTCACCGCTGCTCTGGCCCTCCTGTTAACCAAGGAGGTTGCCAGTAGCACCATCTCCCTTTCCAGACCCCATATTCTAAGGGTCAGAGAGGGCAGGTGGCATGGCAGAGGCCTCACAGCCCATAGGGCTACAGATAAGACTCAGCCCTGGTCTGCTCTCCCCTCTCCCAATGCAGCGGGGGAGGGAGAAGCGAAAGTGGGCGGGGCTGCCGTCCCTGCTTGTCTGGATCCCTTGCTCCAGGTTTCCTCCCACCTGTGGCTGCTACCCCAGCACCTGATAGTTGGGCTCAGGCCCTTGTCTCTCTTCCCTGGCTACTCCCTCTCACTCCAGTAGCTTCTGTCCCCACTTCTCTGCCACCACATCTCCTACCTGTCCCCTCCAGGCCTGGATGAGGGCAGCAGCCTCTGGCTTGCCCCACTCCAAGCTTCTTTATCTGACCAACTACTTCTTAAAATGCTCAGAACCGAGTCCAGGCTCCTCATGGTGCCTTGCAGAGCCAGCCCTTCATAATCTGGACAACCTCACCCTTGCCCCCCACCCCCAACTTTTATTTCAGCTATTCTTCCATTTGTGGTTCTTTGGATCTGGCCATTCTCTTGACTGGGCTTTTTCATACACTGTTGCCTCCAACTGGGACACTCCCCTCCAGCCTTCTCCCACCCCTTCCTGCAGGTGCACCCACCCTCCCGACTACAGCCCACTCCTTCCTCAGTTCACCCAAAGTTAGCCTCTGATCCCTAGGGCTGGCTTGGGAGCCTCCTCTGAATTCCCTCCAATCTAACACTTCCTACATAGCCTGGGAGGATGCAGCAGACCCCTGCTGGGATTGGGGGGTGGGGGATGTGCCTTTTCCTACCCCCAGGTCTTTGTCCTACAGCAAGCTGAGTTTTACATCCCCCTAGTGGCCACTTTCATGCAATGCTCAGCATCACCGCAAGGTGGCAGCACCCCCCAATGTGCCCCTGTGGGCTGGTTCAAACTGCTCTCGGGGTTAGTCAGAGCAGTATCAATGAACTCCTAGTACGTGCCAGGTCCTGTGTTCAGTGCTTCCTGTGATGTGGCTTATTTACTCCTAGCACCCGCATCATCATTAGGGCCTTGTTTCCTGGAGTCGGAGTCACTGGCCCAATCTCACCCAAAACACCCCATATCCCTTGACCTTCCTACCACCTCGCCTCAACTTCCCCCAGCTGGGTACTGATTCCCCAACTACTGCCTTCAGCCCACAGCTCTCTACACAGTCAGGGAGAGAGCCGACTCACGGGCTGCAGGACCACGGACAGGTTGCCTGGTCTCTCTGAGCCCCGGTTTCCACATGTCCAACTCTCTGTACCGGTCTCCTGAACCTGCTGTGAGGATTACAGGAGAAATGGCTCACAAGCCATTCAGCCAGAGCAGGGGATTCACAGAGGGAGCTCCACAAACACTGGCTGTCCTTAATGAGGCAAGAGGTGTCACCTCCATGGTGAACAACTGACTGTTCCAGCAGAGAGCAAACCCAGATATAAAGTATGCCAATTACATGGTTCAGGGATTCCACCTCGAAGAGTTTATTCAGAGGAAATAATTGGGTGATTATGAGATGTGCACCTGAGGACGATCATCACAGTCTTACTTGTACAAACTAAAATCTTGGGATCTCCTTCAACGCCCAGCGCACAAAAGAATATCCTTCTGGTCTGAGCACGCTGGTGGCTGAATCTCCCCAAGTGTTCCGATGCCTTCCCCGACTCCCGACAGCCCCCAGGATCCCATCTGAACACCTCAGCCTGGCATTCACAGTCTCCTGGCCTTTGAGGCTCTCCTCTCACCGAAGCACATCCCTGTACCTACGTCCTTGCTTCCCCTAACCCCTCACCATTCCCTGGATGTGCCCTGCACATCCAGCCTCCATGCCTTTGCTCAGGCCATGCCATCTGCCAGGAATGCCCTCTCCACACCCAGTTCCCTCTGTTCCCAGCCTTCCAGGCCAGCTCTCATGGTACCTGCTCCGTGAACCCTCTCTGGCATCCTCTCCCAGACAGAACCATCTTGCTGCACAGCACCCTCCACCATCATGTCCTCCCTCCCGTGGACAGAGTTATGAAATGATACCCACAGAGCACATGAATGGGGCTCTTATTCTGTGCCAGGCATTTTGATAAGCATGATGTTATGCAACCTCCATAAGAGCCTATGATAATGCCATCATTATCATCATCTTATGGATGAAAAATTAGGTCCCCTGTGCAGTGAGCCTCCCTTTGGCATCAACTATTACTATCCTTATTAAATCCTATGTGAGTGAGGAGGACTTGGGAGCCTTTTGTAAAGTCAGGAGGCATTGTAGGTAGGTGAGGGTCACAGTGGGGAATGGGGAAGTATGTGGCCTGGGCCCAGCTCAGCCATACCCTGGACTCACCTGTGGGCTCCAGGTAAGGGTTGTTTCTTCCCCAGCCTCCTCTGGGCCAATTTAAGGAGGCTTGTTGGTGGCAGGCAATGTTTTTCCCATGGGGGTTTCCATGGGTGGCTCTAGTCTTGCTGTTAGGTAAAGTCTAGGCAATGGGGCTTCCTCGGAAGTGGGAGTGGTGAGTAGGGATCCTCCCCCAGCCCTCCCTGCCCCTGAGCTGAGCCTCCCCCTGCCAAGCATGCACCGGGTGAGCCCCCTGGTGGATAAGTCACCCCACCCACCGCACCTAGCCTAGGCTGCTGCAGGAGCTGGACTCAGCACCCCTGTGAGTCCAAGAGTTGTGTCAGGACCTGGGGCTCAAGCCAGCATCTCTGTGTCCCTAACTTGCAGCAAGAAAGTCCCGAAATCCCTGGTGTCTCCCCCAGTCACAGAGTTCAGGTGGGTGTCAAGGGGTTGAGCTTTCCAGGGCCATGTGAAGAGGGGCAGGATGCTGGGCTTCAATGCACAAGCCCGGCCTACTTGTCTGTGCGTTTCCTTGGACAAGCGCCTTCAGCATCATGTGTCTCCATTGCTTCAGCTGCCCAATGGTCACAACACCTCCTCTGCCTACACACTTGGATTGGAGAGAGTGACATCTAGGACACTTCTACTGGAAGACCTAGGACAAACAAGTCCTCTTCTTCTTTGTAAAAGTAGGGCCTTAGGGAGATGCTAGTATGGGGAAATTAAAAGCAATGTCTTTGAGTAAAGAAAAAACAACACACACAAAACCCTCGGGTTGTCTGATCTACTACTTAACATCTGTGGGATGTTGGGTGTGTGACTTCATTTCTCTGAGCTTCAGTTTCCTTATTCATAAGGTGGCATGATGAACAGCCTCCAGTGAGGCGTGAAAGTAAATGAGCTAAACTCATAAAGCACTTGGCAGTGGGTGTGGCACACAGAGAGCACCCACCAAAAGACAGCTGTGATTTTTTTTATTATTATTGCCAGGCAGCTGGCTAGAGCCAGATATGACTTCCTTTGATTCCAAGAAAGTTTCTTTAATTGCTGAAAACATAAGCGGTGTGTTCCAAGGAAAAGAAATGAGAATGGGAGAAATGGGTGGGGGAAGCTGTGCACCCCGAGTCAGATAGAGCCTTATGGAAGCATCTCTCACCTACCCAGGGGGGCGGCCACTGCCAGGAATCTGGGGGCTGATTGCCTGAGTCTCTCCAGGAGAGTTCATACCCCTCCAGGACTCGGTTCCTGTCCAAGGTGCTGAAATCTGCCCAGGGATGGCTCCTTCCCGTCATGCACATCCGTGAAATTAGCTGCTCCCTACCTCCATTCAACTTCACAGGGATACACTATGAAGATGTACCTTTTAAAAAAAACTTCTACTCTTTATGTAAATCAACTATATAAGGACTAGATGTAAAAAAAAAATTAGATACGTCTCCAACCCAAATTCCTCATAGTTCTTTTTTTAAAATATTTTATTTATTTATTTTTAGAAAGAGGGAATGGGAAGGAGAGAAACATCCATATGTGGTTGCCTTTCATGTGTCCCCTACTGGGGACCTGGCCTGTAACCCAGGCATGTGCCCTGACTGGGAATCAAACTGGCAACCTTTTGGTTCACAGACCAATGCTCAATCCACTGAGCTACACCAGCCAGGGCCCTCATATTCTTAAGAAAGGAATTTAAGTGCCTCAAGAGAAGTGAGGGCAGAGGGTAGATTTGTTTTCCTGTTTCTTAGGTTTCAGTGATATCTACTTCTTGCTTTTACACTTGCTTCTTCCTCTTCTACAACATTGGCTCCCTCCAAGGCTGTGCCTCTTCTACCTTTCCTGATCTAACCACAGCATACGAGTCTTCCCCAAAGCAGCTCCTTCTCTACTGCTCATTAACGTCCAAATCGGGAGAACTAATGATCAGTTTCTGGTGGGAGGGTGGACTATATAGAGAGAAAGCAGAGGGTGAGGGGTCTCTGAGAAGTGAGGCAGTGGCCTAGATAGGGGTGAGCTCCTTGTCGTATTTCTGCATGCCCTCATCCGGAAGAAGTACCTCCACTGTGAAGCTGATCTTCTTGGTATGGACAAAGCTATAGGTATTGTCAAAGCGCAGGACATCTGGAGGGACAGATGGACAGACAAGTAGCTGGCCCTGCTTGACACTCCCTCTGTCCCTGCCCCATACTTGGGGGAGGACAGGCTGCGTTCCCACCTGCTGTGTTTGCCAACTGAGCCAAGCTCCTACCACTGCTGTTTCCTTCCCCATGGGAACTGCCACCCCTGAGCAGGGCCTGTAAACAGACACTGGTCTCTTGGCACATGTTCAGGTTGGCTTTAGTTGCATAAACTGGCAATGAGAACAATGGCCACTGCATGACACATGCATGATGGGATTGGACACTTCTATGATGGTATTGGAAGGGGGAAATCTGGCAATGTCAGAGGCTTCCCAGCCCCCTTAGATGAAATGAGATGTTGGGCCAGGCCTGTGCATGTCCTCTGCCTCCCCAAAGGCACTCTGAGAAGGAGAGGTTGTAACCTCTTCTTCACAGGTGAGCAAACCAAGGACCCAGATTGCAAAGACTTTTGCCCAAGATTACACAGCTACCACAAGGCTGAGGTGGGACCCTGGCTCCACACTCAGATGTATGGCTCTGAATAAGCTGACTTACTTCTCAGAGCTTCAGTTTCCTCCTGGGGAGAGTTGCATATACCCTATCAGCCCTTGCCTGTGTCCTGTGGTCCAAGGGCTCTCAACCCCTTCAGGGCCTGTGGGTCTCTGGTTCTTGGTGCACAGTAGGTGCTCATGAGTGTGTACCAAATGAACAGGTTTGTGAATGAATGGCACTAACCTAGACTATTGTACCTGGGTGGTGTCAGGGAAGTCACTGCCCCTCTAAACTGTGAGACAGGGGACTTCAGCTTTCGGAGCTGGGTCCCAGCTGGGGAAGACTTACAGACACCAGCTTCCGAGCAAGTGAGGCTCCCATCCTCAGGCACCATGTGGGCATTATAGCGCTGGCTGGGCAGAACTTCTGTCATGTCCCCTGCTCGCTGCCGCTCCCCCATCTTGGTCTTTAGGAAGACTCCGAAGCCGATATCTGCACCGTCAGATGAGAACTGCCACCTGTGTGTGGGTGGGAGGAGAGGGACAGGTTACTACTGCTCAATCTGATGGGCCCTTGAGGGGCTAGTATACAGCCAGGGGTGGGTCAGTGGCCTGTCCCTACCTGAGGACACAGCCTGGGAACAGGATCTCGTACTCCACTTGGTGTGAGGAGCCTCGGTTGATCTGCACTGAGTGCTCGTACTGAGTCTTCACCTGGTCCCGCACGTACATGGACTTGGGGATCTCCCCACCATAGTTGATCTGCAGGCACAAGGTGGGGTGGGATGGGATGGGATGGGCTTCCTCCCCTCTTCCAGCTATTGCATTGTGCATGCCACTTCACCTGCATGCTCTCACCTGCATGCTCTTCATCTGAAATGCTCTCACCATTTGCTGGAAGCATCTTGCTCATCCCGTGCTACCCCACTCCACCCCAACCCACCCCCTGACCCTCCGGGTTGGGTCAGGGCCTTCTCTGGAAACTTCCTTTTCCAGCTCATTCCTCTGAGCCAAAATTTTCTTATTTCTTGTTTGCCTGCACAGCCGCTGAGAGCCCTATGGGGGCAGGGCTGGACTGTTTAGCTCAATACCTTGCTCACGGGGGTCTCTCCATAATCATTTGTAGAATGAGTGAGTAAGAAAGGAACCCAGCTCTACCCTTCTCCCCTTCCCTGTCTCAGGGCTCTTTGTACCTTAGTTAAACATTTGGGGTTCCCATCTGGGTCAGTCAGGGTCCCCCCAAAATGGGCAGGTAGTTCCTCAGGACTGATGTGTTTCAGCAAACCTTCTTTCCAGTTGTCTGCAGGCAAAAGGGTTGAAGGGCAGTTATCAGGCATGAAGGAAACCCATCAGCAGCCCCATTCCCATACAAGGCTCTTAGCCCAGAGGTTGGCTAGTAACCAACTGAAACCAATAAGGAAGAAGGTGTGCAAGCCTTAGTCACCAGAAATAGGGAATAAGGCAGAGGCAACTGGATAGACTTTACAATGTAAGGCCCGCCTCACTTTTGAGAAGGAGGAGCCTCTGACTCTAGGTGATGTGTGGATCTCTGGATGGGTGATAGAACAACCTCACTCCAAAGCTCATGCACGGAGCTCAGGGGATGGAACTAAAACTACTTACTTCCCAACACTATAATTTTTCTGCGAGTGTCTTCACTTAGGAAAGGCTTCATGAGGTTGTAGCCCACAGGGAAGAGTTTGGTGGCTGGAAAGATACAAGCAAAGATAATGGGGAGAAAATAATTCTATTGAGCCATTCTCTCCGTAACAGTCATAGCCAATAATATGGAAGAATCATGAATCACCTTGAAAAATTTCAATGCTCTGTCCCTGAAAAACCAATCAACCAATTGGTTAACCAATTAACAAGCAACAACTAACCAACCATTTAATCATCCAGTATATAAACCAATCAACCATCCAACAAATTGCCAATCAATTCACTTTCTAACTAACCCACCAATTGCCTACCAACCAATCAGCCAACCTACCAAATAGTGAAACAATCAATTAACACACAAGCTAATCAACAAACCAATAAGCCAATTAAGCAAACAGTTAACTGCCCCACCAACTACCCTCTCCAGCCAGTCAAACTTTCAAACAAATGACAGCCAACCATCCAAGATCCAGCCAAATAACAAACCAGCCAGCCAACTAAACAATCTGCCAACTTGCCACTCATACAACCAACCAACCAAAATGTCAACTAGTCACTCAATCAGTCAATCAAACTAGCAACTATCCAACCAGCAAACCAATCAACCAACCAATTAACCAGCCAACCATCAAACACACATCTGTCCTTCCATCTACCCACTCTAAATGACAATCACCCAAAAACCCATTGAGCATTTACATGGCCCCAGGCCTGTGAGAGATACAACAGAAGTGGAGAATCAGAAGACATTGACTTCAAGAAGCGGACAACCCAGAAAGGAAAACAGGATGAACACACACAAGACCACTGGTGGCCCAGGGGCAGCAGACAAGAAAGGCCAGACTGGGCTACACCAGTCACCAGTGTCAGAGGCACTTTGAGTAGGGAGAGATCAATGAGGCAGAAAAGTGATGGGAGATTCCTGGAACAGCTGGGGTTGGAGCTGCTTCCTTTTGCAGCAAGGCCAACCGTAGAAGCTTCCATTTATGCAGCACTTACTCTGTTCCAGGCACTCTAAGTGATTTGCATGCAGTCAAGCAATCAACCTCTCTTGCTACAACCCAGGGAAGAAGGCAATATTATCATCCCCAGGGTATAGGTGAGGGAAAAAAAAGCACAGGGAAGTAAAGTCACTTGGCACACACCTTTTATAATGAACATGAACTTTAGGGTCTCTGGATAATTCTCTTCAAGGAGGGTAAAGAACTGTGGAACCAAGAAAGACCCCATTAGAGCTCATACCTCATCTTATTCTACTCCCATCACCTTGCACTCTCATTCTGGCGGGTTCAGAGAGCTGTGGAGAGTTTCCTTCCCATGACCTTGACTGGCCCCTAGAGGGGAACCTCTCACCTCAGACTATTGCAACCATACCATAATAATCATTTTAAAGTAAAATTATAGTAATGATAGTATAGTAATAATAATGACTGCTGTTTATTAAGTGTTCACTATTTGCAAGCACTGTGTATATACTTTACATACCAATTCACTTAAATATCCTTCTATCCCTCTAAAACGCAGGCAGTCAGTCAGTCTCCCTCAAAACTTGTCCAAGTCACAGAGCAGGGATGACAGAGCTGGGAAGGCTTTGGGGGAAGCTGGCCCCCATGGTCTCAATACAGTGTTGTCCCTGAGGCCTGTGGGGTCTTCTAGGAAACATTATCAATGGGTATGAGGCTCATGGTAGGCCCAGGAAGGCTACCAGCTGGTACCTAATCTTGGCTATGAATGAGCAGCCTGGTCACAGCAAGCCAAGCTGGTTGTTAAAGCAATCAGGGGGTGCTCTGGGGCTTTCTCCTCACCTCCTGGTATACTTCCACCAGTGGTTTCCAGAAGTGCTTCAGTCCCAGGCCCTCGCAGTCAAATATCATCACAATGGTATTAATCTTCTTCCCCAGCTGCAAGGATGAGAGCAAGGGACAGTTCCAAGGTTCAGGGTACAGACTCAGAGCTTGGGACATGGTGACCCTAGCACATGACACCTCAGGGTTTCTCCCAGTCCCCTACTCTGTCCTCAGAGGGGTGATCAAAGTAGTGAATACATTTATCTATCCATCTATGCATCAGCTGACCCAGCCATTCACCCATCTATCCATTAATACGCCATTCATTCATTCCTCCATGTGTTCAATTGATACTTATTAAGCACCTATTTTGTGCCAAATACTAAGAGCATAACACAAAATGCTCAATTAATCCACACTGCTTGTCTTCAAAGAGTTCACAGTCTGGTTGGGGAGACTGACAGGCAAGCAGGTCACCGTGGTCCTGAGATGTGCTGGGTTGGGACAGCATGGGAGCCGTGGGAACACACGCTAACCCTGAAGGGGGCCATCGAGGAGGTGGCATTTAAGTTTGAGACCTGAGGCATAGATGGCGAAAGCCAGAGGCAGTGTGGCAGGCAGGTGTGCACGCTGGGGGTAGGGTTTTCACACAGCAGGGAGAGCAGGGGCAGAGACGCAGCCGACCTAACAGTAACTAGCACAGTTGAGAAATATGTTAGGCCCTGCACGCTAGACTATGTACTTGCATTATCTCATTTAATCTTTGCGGCCATTATTTATTATTATCCGTTTTCTAGGTGAAGAAACAGGCTCAGAGAGGTGACTTTTCCAGGCTCACAGCCCTCTAACCATAACAGCAGAACAGGTGGGACTCCTGGGACCACGTCACCTGGTGGCCTCACCGGGCCCAGCTGCCCACCCCACCCAGCCTGGGCCTCACCCGCTCCGTCTGCAGGTCACACTCATGCAGGATGCGCTCGCAGTCCCTCATCTTGGTCTTGAGCAGGTCCTGCTTGGTGATGGAGAAGAGCAGGCCCTTGGGGTCCAGAGGCCCGATGATGTCGTACCACACGGGGCAGCCGTCACGGTCATAGCCACAGAGGCCCCCAGGCATGTATTTCTCGATCACCTGGGCATGGAAAGATACATGGCTCTTGGCATTAGGCGCCTCCCCAGAGACCTCCAGACAGGGCTGACCTGTGTGCCCCCAGCCCACACACAGCATGGAGGGCAGCACTACGGTCCTGGTGAAAAAAAACTGAGGGCCTATAGGGAGGGCCTTGCTCACAGCAGGTACACAGCAGAGCCAGGCCTCAGCAGGGCCCGGTCCCAGGCCCCTGGGCTCCTCAGTTACACCCCTGACCTCTCCCACGCCCCTTTTCATAGAGATACAGACACTGCTGCTGCCCTGCTGTGCATCCTGAGCAAGTGACACCGCCTCTCTGGGCCCCATTCTACCTCCTCTTCTGTAAAATGGCTTGAATATTTCTCTCTTATGGGGTCATTGGGGTAAGTCCCCAAGATCATGTCAGCAAAGTACACAGTCTTGCCTAGAGCTCATACTCCATGAATAAAACTGACCACTGACTATTTCTTTCCTAGGATGTCAGTGGTGGGACTGTCCTCAAAGCCTTGGTGGGTAAGTTTCCTTCCCACCCAGACAGGATGCTGTGAGCAAGGCCCGAAGGGTGAGGGCGCAGGGGCACAGGCTCACTGTGGTGGTGAACAGCCAGGCTCAGGGACAGACAGGCCTGAGGTCAAATCCCAGCCCCACCTCAGGCCTGTGGGCCTTTGGGTAAGCCACTTAATCTTTGCTGGGCCGCAGTGTCCTCATCTGTAAAATGGGACAATAGTATCTACCTCAAGGGTTGTGAAGGTTAGATGAGCTTACAAAGGTAAAGTCTTAACCCAGGTCTGGGCCTCGTAAGCCTTCAGGAACTGTTCAATATTGTTACGGGAGAGGTACCTGCTGGCCCAGGGGGTTCCACAGGCTTCTCAGGCTGGCCGCCCTTCATGCAAGATCCCCAGTGACCCAGAGGCTGCTTACTTAGTGCTATGTCTATGGAAGATTGGGGTGTGTGTGTGGGGGGGGGGTGTTGGCTCACCTCTGGGGGCTGCCAGTTGAGGATGTGGTCAATATCCATGGTCTTCCGGAACTCCATGTACTAGAAAAAGATAGTGGTAAGGGCTCACTGGGCTTCCAGCACCCCAGAGGAAGGGATGGAACAGAGGCAGGGTGCATGCATCACCCCCTATCAATCCCCCTCCCAAATCTCCAGCAGGGAAGGGTCTCACCTTGCGGATCATGGCCTCTGATTTCTGTAGGTCAAAATTCCGAGCTGTGGGAAGAGGGAAGGGAAGAGTGAGTGGGGAAAAGACTGCCTCGCAGTAGCCTTCTCCTGGTCCTGGGCACTGGGAGCTATGGAGGGCACTGGGGGCCTGGGAGAGACTTTTCTTCCCTGTGCCCTCTCCTCTCCTGGACCAAATGTGTGGAGCCAGGTGATGTGGTTGGAGCCCGAGAGCCCGCCACCTGGAGCAACTGGTACCAGGCTCCTCTCGCCGCCCCTTCACCATGAGCGTTCCCACCGCTGTCCGCACCTCGGAGCCAGCGCAGGAGGAAATAGTCATCAGGGTTGGGCAGGGCAGGCAACACGTCCTGGAGATTTTCTCGGAACTGAAAAGGGAGATGCTGGTTAAAGTGATTTTCTCATGGAGCCTTGGCTCCCAGACCCAGTGATAGGAGTTTTCCTCCACCCTCCTTCTCTTCCACATGCAACTGGCTCACAATGATGGAAGGATGGACAGGCAGATGAATACAAAACATAGGTCATTGGGTGGGTGAGTGGATGCAAACGTAGGACGGAAGGAAGGATACATGGGTGAGTGGATGGACAGAAAGAAGAATGAATGGGTGGACAGAGAAGAAGAAGAAAGCAATGAATGGGTGGATGGAGAAAAGGAGAGATGGGTGGGTGAGTAGAAGCAAGAAGAGTTTGGTAGGTGAAAGGATAGAAGGAGAAATGGATAAATGGGTGGGTGGGTGTGGGAGGATGGATGGAAAAAAGAATAAATGGGTGGGTGAGTGGATTTCCCCCCCTTATTCCCAGAGGATACATTCTAAGATCTCCCTGACCCTTGAATGCCCTATGGTTTTTCCTATGCATACATAGCTATGATAAAGTTTATTTAACTTGTAAATTAGGCATAGTAAGAGATTAACAACAATTACTACTAATAAAACAGAACAACTATAACAAAATACTGTAGTCAAAGTTATATGGATGTGGTCTCTCTCCAATAACCAGTCTGATGACAGAGATGGTTACTAAGCAACCAGCAGGTGGATACTCTGGACAAAGAAATGATTCTCCCATAGGGCGGGACAGACCGGGAAGGCAGGAGATTTCATCACACTGCTTAGGACAGTGTGAAATTTAAAACGTAGCGATTGCTTATTTCTAAAATTTTTCATTTCATATTTTCAGACTGCCGTTGACAGTGGGTGACTGAAACCGTGGAGAGCGATGCTGTGGATCAGGGGAGACCACTGCACCCTTCATTCCTTCCACGTGTCAGCCCACAGAGGCTTCCACCTTCTTTTTTTCTTATCCCATTTTCTACAAAAACTCAGTTAAGGATCGTGTGTCCTCGTCCCCACTGACCGTGGGGGAGACACACCCTGCTCTGTCTCTCTGGCTCTTAGAGACCAGTCATCTCTCGGGTCCTGAGGAGGGACGCGACCATCCTGAGGGGCCTGGGAGGGAGGGGCAGCTTTCAGACAAAGCTCTCTGGGTCTGGTTCCTGCGTGAGAAGAAGTCGGGCTTGATCTGACACCCACACTACTGACTGGGAAGTGCAGCTGTCCCCTCAGCCCCTTCCCTGGAAGAGTCAGTGAGTGCTGTGAGACCTTGGGAGAGGTAACAGCAAAGAGACAACATCAAGGACATGCTGAGCCTACTGAGTAAGGCAGAGTTAGAGCCACCGCCCGTCCTCTGCCCCTGGAGCCCCAGGGAGAGGGGTTCTCACCTTGGCCAGGGTCTCTGCCTGCTTGGGGCTCAGGTCTCCGACTCGGCCGCTCATGGTGCTGGGTGAGGCTGGAGGAGTAGGGGCCACTGCAGGCAGAGGCCAAGCTGGGTCTGTGGCTCTGATCCAGCTGGGCCTTTTGCCCCCACTCCTGGGTGTGGCTCCAGGTGCCTCCTCCTTGGACAACTGTTGAATGGCACATTACATAATTGGGATTAAGTAAGGTCCAGTGTTTGGCTCTAGGACAGGTCTGAGGGGCCAGCAGGCACGTGGGGACATGCAAGAGGTCCCCTGCCAGGTGGGGAAGGCCGGGAGAGAACGGGGTTGGCCTCCTGTGGCATGCGAGCCCAGGCCAAGGGCCTGCAGAACCCGGAGCAGTGTTCTCAGGCCTTGGGGGGCCACTGTCCTGGAGAAGGGGGATATTTTGGGGGAGTGGAAACAGCACATTTTCCCTTTGAGCCTCAGTGTCTCCTTGTCACTAAAGAAAAGACTCCGCACAGAGGCTTCTGTGAAAGACAGCACCTACTCAGCTCTGACAGGTAGGGATCAGCGACTTGGTCAGTTTAGGAAAGAGTTCATTCACTTTGTCTGAGAAGGAGGCTCATGTCCTTTTGCAACAAGTATTCATATTTAAGAAGAGACAGGCCGGAGCAGAAAGATAGGATTCAAGTGTCCTTGTTGAAGGTTCGTTCTCTCCGAAGGGCCGACGCTGCTTTGCCCGATGTCTTTCGAATTTCACGGTGCAGTGCGGGCCCTGCCCCTTCAGTGCAGGGGAGGGCTGAGCACCCTCCCTCTGCAGCCCTCTCTTTCCATTGCTGAGGGCTTGTCCAGAATCCCACATCCGCTGGGCCCGAAGGGAGAGCTGGCGCGTGGGGACGGCCTTCGGACGGTAAAGGTGTTTCTTGGTATTGTAAACACCTGATCAGTGAGGGGCATCCACCATCTATTGCCGGTGACTAGAAAAGCCCAGAAGGTTCCCGTCCTTTGATTTCTGTTACGCTGCCTGATAGTCTGTCATTAGATGTAACTGCAAGGCCGGGCCTGCTCCCCACTCACCCATAAGACCTTCATTTTAAAATGACATCTCGGAGTGTCATTTGCTTCACTTGTAGAATGGGGACATGGGTCAGCACTTGCCCTGTCCTCCTTATGTGGTTGGAGGGAAGATCTAATGAGACATATGGACTTCTAAGGGACTGTTCTCCTCCAGCTGTCAGAAGCTCCAAGATAGCATCATGGACTTTATTGTCCATAATCGCCTATAAAGAAATCAGGGATGCGTAGGCTTGAGACCACAGCATGTCTGTGTGGCCACATCTTCCAGGGCTTGAGGGTATCACAGGGGCTGAAACCACCCCTGGGCTAGCCTCAACCACTCGGCCCAAGGGGTCCCCAGGTCTCCTCCCCCTAGGGTATCCTGAGTCCCCACCTCTGGGCTATCTCAGGACCTCTTTAGGCCAGTGGATGTGACTTAGTGCTGGACACCTTCCTTGCTCTGGGCCACTGATAGAGTTGGGTCCAAAAGGAGAAGGAGAGGCCAGCTTTGGCCATCTCCATCTGGCTGGGGTGCCTGCTGCACAGGCTCGGGAACAGTTAGATAACTCTTCACACCCCACTTCACATTCCAGGCTTTCTGCAAACCCTCAGCCGCTGTTGTCCACGCCTGCTTCCTGCCGGCTGGCAGCCTGCAGAGATTGGGTTCCGCCACTGCTGTGTCATTAGCCCCTAATCCTGCCGCTTTCTCACCAGTCTCTTTTCTCTCACTAATCCCTTTCACGTGAGATGCCCCAGGCACTTCTGGGGACATCAGAGGTTGGTCAGAAGGGGAGTTTTGGGGTCTTTCCAGGAGCTGTGGGCCTTCCGAGACACCCCTAAGTGCTTTTCCCGACCCATACTACAAATAGGCACGAGCACCTACTGTGTGCACAAATGATCATCATCCACTAGAACTTTCTGCGATGATGGGAATGTTGTATAGCAAGGCTGTCCTACTGGGCAAACTTGGTAACCACTACTCATGTGTGAATATGGTTAGTGAGACTAAAGACCTCCAGTTTTAAATGAATTGAAATTTAATCTGATTAAAATGACTTTAGATCAGCCTTTATGGTTTGTGGCTATCATACTGTTTATTGCATTACCTGAAGGCTTATTACATGCCTGGCCTTTTTGTAAGTGCATTACCTCATTTAAACCTCGGAACTCCCCCTGGGGGAGTGGGTTAGGTGCCATTATTAAGCCCATTTTACAGATAAGCAAACTGAAGTACAGAGAAGTTAATTAACTTATCCAGAGTTAAACTCATGCAATTACCCGCTCTGCTGTTGCACAGTTGGACTATTCGGCTCTAGGATCTTCCACACTAATCAGGCAGAGGACCCAGGCACAGAAGTTCCCAGTAGGATGCAGGTGGCCTTTGAGCCAGACCTTGCAGGAAGGGACAATGCTGATTAGTGGAGATCAGAATAGAGAAAAGGGCATCATAAGTGGAGGGGATGGCATGGGCAAAGGTGTGGACATGGGAAATCAAAAATCATGTGGAAGGGAGTGCTGGGGATTGGGCAGGAAACATGGTGGACTAGGTCCCTGCTCCACGAAGCTCATCCTCTCCCACTGGTTGAGCATTTCCTCTGTGCTGAGAGCTTTGCCTCATCATCAAACCATTTGGAAACAGGCAGGGGTCCCCTCATCTTACAGTCAAAGAAGTGGAAGGTCCGAGGGATTAAGAAATTTTCTGAGGTCAGTAAATGGAGAGCCAGCACTGGAACCCAAGCTTATCTGACTCAGGAACCCTAGCCCAGCCCTGCCTTCCCTCAGAGGGCTTAACCTTGTGTCTGGAATATCCTAAGTGCTCAATCAATGGTCCAAATAAATCATCATCGTGTGTCCCCTAGGGCTGCAGGGTGTCTTGAGGCCAGCAGAATTCATCTTTCTACCCTAAAACAAAGACTCTGGCAAAGGAGAACTCCCTCACCCCCACCCAAAGAATACTTCATCTCCAAGTAAGTCCCCAGACTGTGTGTAGCTCCTAGTTTGCCAAGCTCTCAGGGGGCCATGGTGACAACCACAACATAAGCAAACAACTGTGGGGTGGTGGACAGGGCTATCCACACCAGTCCCTAGAGCCTCTCTCTCTGGGCAGTTACTAGGAAGTGTGAAAGGGCTGCCACTCTGCCCTCAACGGGCACATTCCTGTCTGCCTTCCCCTAGATGGACTGCACCAGAACCAGTTGGTGCAGAGGAGGTCCAGTGGGTACGGGAGTGAGCATTGCTGGGAGGTGGCAAGTTAGTGTGTGTGTGTGTGTGTGTGTGTGTGTGTGTGTGTGTGTGTGTGTGGTGGCTCAGACCACAGGAAGGTGAGGCAGGGGTGGTCTAAAACAGGAAGATGGGAAGGGAGCTGGGGCCACCTGGCTGGAGTCCCAGTGGTGCCCTGGGAAAGACCTCCCGGGCACAGTCTATGTTCATTTCCGTTTTTAGGTAAAAAATATGTGAGTGTGATATAATTCACACAACACGAATTCGCCATTCCTAATGTATACAACTCAGCGATTTTTAATAGATTCACGAGGTTGTACAACCATCACCACTATTTTCATCCCCCCCCCAAAAAAAGATCCAAACAGAAACAAAAACAAACAACCCTGTACTGTTAGCAGTCATTCCCATTTCCTGCTCCTTCGGTCCAGCCTCGGGGGACCACTAATTTACTTTCCTCCTCCCCATTTCCCTCTTCTGGCTATTTCCTGTGAAGAAAATGACTCAGTATGTCATCTCCTGTGTCTGGCTTCTTCCTCTTGGCATAAGTTTCCAGGGTCCATCCGTGTTGTGGCAGGAATCAGTGCCTCATTCCTCTCTATGGCTCCTCAGAACCCTTTTGTGTGGCTACACCACGTTTTGTCTATCCATCATCTGCAGGACGTCTGGGTTGCTCCCCCCTTTGGCTGTCATGCACAATGCTGCGATGAACATTTCTGTACCAACTTTTGCAGAAGCATAGGTTTTCAGTGCTCTCGTGTATGTCCCTAAGAGTGGAATTGCTAGATCATATCGTCGTTCTGTTTATCCTTTTGAGGAACAGCCAAGTTGTTTTCCAAAGTGGCTACGCCATTGTACGTTTCACCCAGCAAAGCGTGAGGGTTCTAGTTTCTTCACACCCTCCCCAACGTTGATTCTCTGTTTCCTTTCTAAGATTACGGTGGCTGTCCCAGCGGGCGTCACGTGGTGCTTCTCACTGTGGTTTTGACTCCTGTTTCACGGCTGACTGAAGACATCAAGAGCCCTTTCACACGCTTGCTGGCCACTCATATGTCTTCTGCAGAGAAGTGTGTATTCACATTTTTTAAATGTCTTTATCCATTTTTATATTAGGTTCTTGGTCTTCGTATTGTTGACTTGTAAAATTTTTAATAGGTTCTGGATATGAATCCCTTATCTGATGTAGGACTTGCAAATATTTTTTTCTACTCTGTGGGTTGTCTCTTCACTTTAGTGTCCTTTGATGAAAAGAGTTCTAAGTTTTGATGAAGTCCTACACATCTACCTTTTCTTCCATTGCTTGTGCTTTTAGTATCATAGCTAGGAAGACATTGCCAAATCCAAGGTCATGAAGACTTTACCTCCATGTTTTCTTTTGAGAGTTTTATGGGTTTGGCTCTTATATTTCATTCTTCTCAGGGAGGCACATGGCTCCGGAGTCAGACACCCTGGATTCCAATCCTGCCCGAGCAAATGGCCGTGACTCTGAGCCTTTCCTTTCCCTCCTATGTAACAGGGACAACTATATTTATGTCACAGAGCTATCGTTGACAAAAGAAATGTCTGAACCTGTAAAGAATTTTTATGATTTTATTTGCGCCAAACCAACAACAATGGCTAGGGAGCAAAATCTCAACAGACTGAGAAAATGCTCCAGAACAGGCAGTTCGGCAGGTTATTTCGTACATTAGAATGGAGGGAGGAGACGTGGGGAGGGTTACACGAAATCCACTGGTGGTAGATTAACGGTGGGGGGTAGAAAGCGAAGTGCGGGAAATCACCGGAACTGGATAAAAAGTAAAATGGAG